GTCAGCTAGCTGGGGAGTGGAGAGATCGCAGAGGAAGGGATTAGAAGAGAGTAAGCGAACCACAATGGGGATACAGATCATATGAAGTGTTAATACTCTTTTATAATACCTTGGTAAGGCCACACTTGGAATAATGCATCCAGTTTTGGCCGCCACGATATAAAAAAGACGTTGAGACTCTGGAAAGAGTGCAGAGAAGAGCAACCAAGATGATGAGGGGGCTGGAGGCTTAAACATATGAAGAACGGTTGCAGGAATTGGGTCGGTCTAGTTTAATGGAAAGAAGGACCGGGGGAGACATGATAGCCGAGTTCCAATATCTCAGGGGCTGCCCCAAAAAAGAGGGAGTCAAGCTATTCTCCAAAGCACCAGAAGGTAGGACAAGAAGCAACAGATGGAAACTTATCAAGCAAAATAGGAGAAATTTCCTGACATTAAGAACAATTAACCAGTGGAACTGCCTGCCACCAGAACTTGTGGGCGCTCCAACACCGGAGGCTTTCAAGAAACAGACTGTTATATTTTACGTCTATATTACTACGGGTTTTGTAAACTGGTGGAGGCAGGCAGGCAAGCCAAACTCATCTGTTTTTAGATGCGCCCAGCATTTGTGCCTTCAAACCCATGGTGCCCAGCCGGTGGATGGGCGACGGAGCCAAGTCTCGACACAACTAGGGCCAGCTTTGCGGCGTCCCCTAGTCCTACACTCCTGGGGTGTCGCATCTCCGTCTAACCCAGCCCGGATGAAGATGGGTCCAAAAGGCAAAATGCTTTCTCCGCAATTCCTCAGCAGAAGCCGTTGAACTCTGCACATACTCAGAGAACCCATTGTCCTGGAATTCCTGCTAAGGTCTCCCCTGTCCTTCCAAGTATTTCCACCCCTTCTTCTCCCAAACCGCTCCTGCTGCCAGAGGCTGTTGTGGAGGAGAAATGCACTCTGCACATGCTCAGGGACTCCCATCCTCCTGGAATTCCTGCTAAGAACTCCCCTTTAGTCCAAATATTTTTTTCTCCCAAACTGCTCTTGCTGCCAGAGGCCGTTGTGGGGGGGGAAATGCACTCTGCACATGCTCAGGGACTCCCATCCTCCTAGAATTCCTGCTAGGAACTCCCCTCTAGTCCAAATATTTCCACCTTTTCTTCTCCAGAACTGCTCTTGCTGCCAGAGGCTGTTGTGGGGGGGAAATGCACTCTGTGCATGCTCAGGGACTCCCATCCTCCTAGAATTCCTGCTAAGCTCTTCCCCGTCCTTCAAATCTTTCCACCCCCCTTCCTTCTTGGCAAGACGCAACCCGGTTTTTGCAAGCTTCCCCATGCCCTCCTCCCCTCTCCCTGCCCTAGATGGCCCAGCCAAGCCCCCCAGGGACCTCCGCCCACCGCCCGGCTGGCTCCCTCCCCTCCCTTCCCCTCCGCTGTCTACTCCTCTCCTCTCACGCTCGGCTGGGCATAAAATCCTTTGCAAAAAAGGAGAAAAAATATGGGTCAACAGCACCGCGCTGGCACCAAAAAGGACACCAGGGTGGCATCGCCGTGATGCCCGCCTGCGGCCGCGGTTCCTACACCTGGGGGGGGGGCTCACATCAGCTGATGGGAGGGAAGCGGGGAGGGTGACAGAAGGGATTTGGGGCAGGCCGAGACGGGCTGTCAGCGATGCCGACATCCTTGCATGCCACCAGATTTTAAAGGCTGAGTCGAGTTCTCTTCCGCTACCCGGCGGTGCCCAGCAGTGCCCCAGGGGAGGGGTCTTCCAGAGAGGGCAGCCCCCCTTTTTTTTCCCTTGTCCTGGGGGGGGGCGCACAGAGAAAAGAGGAGGAGGAAGCAGGGCATCTGGGCATCCGTGCCCGCCTTGTGTGCGTGAGAATAGAATAGAATAGAATAGAATAGAATAGAATAGAATAGAATAGAATAGAATAGAATAGAATAGAATAGAATAGAATAGAAAATACGGAATGGAATGGAATGGAATGGAATAGAATAGAATAACAGTAGAAAATATGGAATAGAATAGAATAGAATAGAATAGAATAGAATAGAATAGAATAGAATAGAATAGAATAGAATAGAATAGAATAGAAAATACGGAATGGAATGAAATGGAATGGAATAGAATAGAATAACAGTAGAAAATATGGAATAGAATAGAATAGAATAGAATAGAATAGAATAGAATAGAATAGAATAGAATAGAATAGAATAGAATAGAATAGAAAATACGGAATGGAATGAAATGGAATGGAATAGAATAGAATAACAGTAGAAAATATGGAATAGAATAGAATAGAATAGAATAGAATAGAATAGAATAGAATAGAATAGAATAGAATAGAATAGAAAATACGGAATGGAATGGAATGGAATGGAATGGAATGGAATGGAATAGAGTAAGGAATGGAATAGAATAGAATAGAAAATAGAACAGAATAGATAATAAAATATAGAATTAGAATAGAATAGATAATGAAATATAGAATTATAGTAGAATAGAATAGAATAGAATAGAATAGAATAGAATAGAATAGAATAGAATAGAATAGAATAGAATAGAATAGAAAATACGGAATGGAATGGAATAGAATAGAATAGAATAGAATAGAATAGAATAGAATAGAATAGAATAACAGAGTTGGGACCTTGGAGGTCTTCTAGTCCAACCCCCTGTCCAGGCAGGAAACCCTACACCACAGAATGGATGCCCGAGTGTGCCAAGGAGGCACACAAGTTGAAAACCAGCACCCATAATCCTTTGCAGAGAGACGAGCCTCCCGTCTGGGGAGGGGGCACCCCTTCCAAACCCCACCCTCTCCCCCAAATCACAGCCACACCACCGCTGGCGGCATCGCAAAATGGGCCTCGTCCGGAAGCTGTGTCTACGGGTATATCCTCGATTTACGACCACAAACGAGCCCCAAACGTCCGTCGCTAAGCAAGACGATGGCCAATGGAGCTTTTGGCCCCCCTTGGAGAATGAACCCTTTTCTTGCCACCATCACTAAGTGAATCAGCACAGTGGTTAAGCCAGGAACACGGTCATTAAAGTGGATCTGACTTTGCTGGTCGGCAAAAGGGGATCGTGTGACCCCCGGGACGATGCGACCGTCGTAAAGTGGATTCTGTGGCCCAGGGTCTGAATTTTGATCACGGGACCACGGAAATGCTGCAACGGTCGTTAAGTGTGAAAAACGGTCCTCAGTCACCGTTCTTCAGTGCCGTTGTAACTTCAGACGGTCCTTGAACAAACTGTTGTAGGTCCTCGAGTTACGACCCCAAATTTCGTCGCTAAGTGAAATATTTGCTAAAGGAGTTTTTGTCCCATTTTGCGACCTGCCTCGCCACCGTTTTTAAGGGGTCACATGACACCCCCCACCTTTTGCGACCTCCCAAACAGCAACGTCCATGGGGAAGCCGGATTTGTTTAACGACCGCGTCGTTAATTTAATAACGGCGGGCCCTCGCTTCACAACGGTGGCAAGGAAGGTCGTAAAACGGGGAGGGGGGGCTGTCAAAACTCACTTAACGAGTGTCTCGCAAAACCAGGTGTGCATTTGGGCTCGAGTGTGCCAGGATGCATCTATTTCTATGTGCCACTGCAAATGTGCAAAATTGGGTGCCTACCGCAAAGCAGGGGAGCATTTTTAAAGGCAGGTGTGTGTTTGTGCTCGAGCGGGCCGGGTGTGTGTGCATGGTTTGCGTGCCTGTTTGGGTATCGGTGTAAAACGGCAAACGGCAACCGCGAGGCGGAGGGAGCTTTTGAAAAACGCAGGGCAGGCGCCCGCCCTTGTCTTCGTGTGTGTGTGTGTGTTTGTGTATGTGTGTGTGCGAGCGAGCGAGCGAGAGCACCTGTGCAATTGTGCAAACTGGGCCGGGTTCCCACAAGGCAGCGGCGGTGGCACCCGCGCCAAAGTCGCCGGCTCGTGCCGAGGTTTGCGGGGAGACGGTTGCCATGGCGATGGCTGAAGGGCCACCCCAGGCAGCCAGAGATGATGTGACAGGGAGGCTGGGCGAGTGGGGGGGGGAGGGAGAGGAGGAAGGGGAGGGGCACACAAAAGGCCGGCACCCACCCCTCCCTCCCTTTTGGAAAAGATGCCCGCCCACCCCCCAAAACAAAATCCCCCCAGCAACCTTGCAAGGGATGGCCAGATGTGGAAGCACAGCTGGATGCAGAGCAGGGGGGGGAATCTGGCTTCTCCATCTTTGCCCCCCCATTCATCCTCCCAGCTTTCCTGATGTGCTGGAGAAGCCATAGCAGGCTGGCTGGGGACTCTGGGATATATAGTCCACGCCCATGGGGAAGGAAGGGGCTCGGGCAACACATGGGCTGATCCCCCCCCCCAGTCATCCCTCCTCTAAAAGTGACATTTTCCCCCTCCTCCGATAGAGGCGGTCCTCGACTTATGACCAACAACCGAGCCCAACATTTCCATCGCTAAGCGAGACGGTCATTCTGTGAGGTTTTGCCCCATTTTATGACCTTGCTTGCCGCATCTATTAAGCAAACCGCCGCAGTTGTTCACTTAGCAACCCGGTTGTTAAGCGAATCACTGGCTTCCCCATTGACTTTGCGTGTTGGGAAGGTCGCAAAAGGGGATCGCGTGACCTCCGGGGCGCTGCCAACCGTCATAAATACGAGTCAGTTGCTGAGCGTCCGAATTTTGATCACCTGACCCCGGGACGCTGCGACTGTCATAACTACGAGTCAATTGATGAATGTCTGAATTTTGATCACATGACCTTGGGGCATTGTGACCGTCATAAATACGAATCAGTCTGAATTTTGATCACCTGACCCCGGGATGCTGCGACCGTCATAACTACGAGTCAGTTACCGAGCGTCTGAATTTTGACCCCCGTGAACACAGAGACGTTGCGACGGTCGTTAAGTGTGAAAAACGACAAAGCCGCTTTTTTTTTTCAGCGCGGTTAGAAGTGTGAACCGTTCACTAAACAGACGGTTGTAAGCCGAGGACGGCCTGTAAAGAAATGCACCCCAAAAGCAGGCTTACTGATAATGTAATAGTCCTGGTTGGACTTGAACTCGTGACCCCAGAGGTTGGGACTGTATTCCTGGAACTTGATGGTGAAGCGCATGTCGTGTTCGGGCCGGTCGCACGTGAGCAACAGGTTGGGGGTCCGCAGAATCTCGCAGCGCTCCGCCTGCTCGGTCTGGACCAGGTACAATTTATAGTATTCGTAGTCCTCGGTGGAGAATGGGCCCAGGGGTACGGAGCGGGGGCAGATAAGGTCCAAGCGGTCCCCGATCTGGGGGTACAAGACGTAGCCCCCCTCATTCTGGAACCTGCGGAGAGAGGAGAAGCAGCACATCAGCCCGACAACAGATAATAACAGGTTAACAGAGTTGGAAGGGATCTTGGAGGTCATCTAGTCCAACCCCCTACAGGAGACTTTATCCCATTCCAGACAATTGGTTGTCCAGTCTCTTCGTGAAAAACTCCAGCGTTGGAGCATCTGCAACTTCTGGAGGGAAGCCACCAACACTGTTTCTACACAGTTGGAAGGGACCTTGGAGGTCATCTAGCCCAACCCCACCCCCTCCAAAGCAGGAGACCCTCCCCCATTTCTGATAGATGGCAGTCCAGTCACTTCTGGAAAGCTTCCAGTGATGAAGCTTCCACACAACATAGAGAAATCATCATTTTGCGGGGTAACTGAATGGAGCTGAGTGTATTACTGGCCGGATGCCTTTCCTGTTGCCAGAACGGAGTTTTATTCAGCAGATGTATTCCCACTCTGCCCAGAGAGAGAAATATCTGACTCTACCTAGGATCGAACTCAACAGGAGAGAAACCTAGGTGCTAAATTCCACTTGGAAGCGACAGATAGTCCTTGACCTAAAACAGTTCATTTAGTGACTGTTTGAAGTTACAACGGCGCTGAAAAAAGGGACTTATGACCGTTTTCACACTTACGACTCTTGCAGCGTCGCCGCAGTCACACGATCAGAATTCAAGACGCTTGGCAATTGACTCATATTTCTGACGGTGACGGTGTCCCGGAGTCCCGTGACGTCAAGGGGGAAGCCGGATTCACTTAATGACAGTTTGACTCACTGAACAACCGCAGCGATTCGCTTAACAACTTTTGGCAAGAAAAGACGTAAAATGGGGCAAAACTGCCTTGATCAATGTCTCACTTAGCAACATAAATTTGGGGCTCAATTGTGGCCCTCGATTTACAATCAAAATTTGTGTGTGTCCGGATCCAATTTCTCCAAGATTTTTTTTACCTTGGCCGTTAAGTGAATCACATGGTCATTAAGTGAATCACATGGGCGTTAAGTGAATCACATGGACGTTAAGTGAATCACATGGTCAATAAGTGAATCACATGGACGTCAAGTCAATCGCACAGTTGCTAAGTGAATCTGGCTTCCCCGATTCTCGCTGCTGGTCGGAATCCAGCTGGGAAAGTCACAAAACACAACCCCGTGCGTGTGAAATGCTACAACCATTGTGAATGCCAGCCCGTCGCCAAGCCCCTGAATTGCGATCACCTGACTACGGAGGTTGTGCGACGGTCGTAACTTCGAGGACAGGTCGGAAGCCCCTTTTCCCCAAAAGCGTCATAACTCTGAAGCGTTGTTAAGCGAACAGTCGTAAGTCAAGGACTCCCCATAAATGGGACATTTGAACTGTGTCGGCTTCCTGACAGCCGTGAAGATTTCCCGTGGGAAAAAAAATGGGATTTTTTCTCCCCCCTCTGTTTTCAGTGACATCTTTCTGTTTATTTAAAGCCCCTTCTGTTTTCCCAAAATCCCACTTCAAAAAATAAGGAAAACGGGAGGAAAACACACAGGATTGTTTGGAAAACTCTAGGGAGCCCTTTCTCCGCTTCCCTGCAAGGGATCAAGATTGGATTCAGAGCAGATTCTGTTTGGAGGTCTCGGATCCTGGCTGTTTTCTTGCAGACCTTTTACGACCCAGCTAGAGAACGTCATCAATGCTGGAAAGGAGAAGGGGGGTGCTATGAGGAGGAGGAGGAGGAGGAGGAAGGAAAAGGAGAAGAAGAAGGAGAAGGAGAAGGAGAAGGAGAAGGAGAAGAAGAAGAAGAAGAAGAAGAAGAAGAAGAAGAAGAAGAAGAAGAAGAAGAAGAAGAAGAAGAAGAAGAAGAAGAAGTAGTACTGTTGGAGCTCAGTAGTAGTACTGAGGAGGAGAAAAGAAGAGGAGGAGGAGGAAGGCGGAAGGAGGAAGGAGGAAGGAGGAGGAGGAGGAGGAGGAGGAGGAGGAGGAAGAAGAAGAAGAAGAAGAAGAAGAAGAAGAAGAAGAAGAAGAAGAAGAAGAAGAAGAAGAAGAAGAAGAAGAAGAAGAAGAAGAAGAGGAGGACTGTGGGATCCTTGGTGCTCTCAGCTTGGTGGTTTTCTGGCAGACGTTTCATTACCAAATTAGGTAACATCATCAGTGCGAGACGGGAGTGAGGTTTTGCTGTGTTTACATATGAAACATTTGCAAGAAAACCACCAAGCTCAGCGAGCACCAAGAACCCAATAGTCTTCCTCCTCCTTCTTCCTTCCTTCCTTCCTTCCTTCCTTCCTTCCTTCCTTCCTTCCTTCCTTCCTTCCTTCCTCCTCCTCTCCACAAACCCCCCTCCCTTCTAGAACTGATGACGTTCCCTAGTTCGGTCATGAGACGTCTGCAAGAAAAAGCCCCCAAACTCAAAAAGGACCCCCTCAATTCAATCCTGCGCTACAAATATTCTCTTCCATCAGATTTTTATTTTGCTTTTCAGCCAAAGGTGGGCAAATCGCCCTCTTTAAAAACCACAACTTAGGAGAAGAAGTCGCTTCTCCACGGAGCTACTACGTGGCTGAGCAGCCCTTAGATTCTTCTCCCTGCCTCCCTTCCAAAGGCGTGGCAGGTGTTCCCATGGAAAACCTTGTTATACCTGTTCAGCTCCATCAGGTGGGGGAGGTGGGCGGGCGTGGCGTTGCGGCGTGGTGATGGGGGGGGATGGGGGTGAGAAACTAACGAAGCCTCCCACCATCAATCCCTGCCAACCTTTTAAAGCCATTTCCCAACTCTTCCCACCGGACGTTTATCCGTCTCCGCTTTGCGCCGATCTAACATCAGGGCTTTTTTTTTAAAAAAAAAAATCCCGCGTCGGTTGCATCATTTGATGAATCCGCGGAAATGAAATCCGCGAAATAGAAAATCGTTTGCGAAATTGCAAATTCCATTGCAGGCCTGGAGCAGATCTTCAGCCTTGTATGTTTTTTTTTTTAAAAAAATATTAAAATATATATATTTTTTATTTTTTACAAACTATTCTAAAAATACGAGTTCCAGGTATATTAGTAAAAAAAAAAGAAGCAGACATACTGCGAACTCCGGAACTTAAAATTTTAAAAGAATTAAAATTTTATTTTACTAAGCTTTCGTCAGCCATCTGCTGATATCGTCAGAGTATTAAACTACCATTACAGAGATCTCTGCCTTTATATGCCATTAATCAATATTTTATTTTATATATATAAAATATATTAAAAAACAAATTGAACCGACGGATTTATTCGGATCAAAGATTTGCAAACGTCAAGGAAGTTTCGGAGCGGTTCTTTCTTTCTTTCTTTCTTTCTTTCTTTCTTTCTTTCTTTCTTTCTCTTTCCTTCCTTCCTTCCTTCCTGTCTTTCTTTCTTTCTTTCTTTCCTTCTTTCCTTCCTTCCTGACTTCCTTTCTTTCCTTCTTTCCTTCTTTCCTTCCTGTCTTCCCTTCCTTCCTTCCTTCCTTCCTTCCTGTCTTTCTTTCTTTCTTTCTTTCTTTCTTTCCTTCCTGTCTTTCTTTCTTTCCTTCTTTCCTTCCTTCCTTCCTGTCTTCTGTTCCTTCCTTCCTGTCTGTCTGTCTGTCTGTCTGTCTTTCTTTCTTTCTTTCTTTCTTTCTTTTCTTTCTTTCTTTCTTTCCTTCCTTCCTTCCTTCCTTCCTTCCTGTCTTTCTTTCTTCCTTCCTTCCTTCCTTCCTGCCTTTCTTTCTTTCCTTCCTTCCTTCCTTCCTTCCTTCCTTCCTTCCTTCCTTCCTTCCTGTCTTTCTTTCTTTCTTTCTTTCTTTCTTTCTTTCTTTCTTTCTTTCTTTCTTTCTTTCTTTCTTTCTTTCTTTCTAGGTTCAAAGTACCCAAACGAGGATTTTTCCAAGACTGGAAAACCCGACTCCTTGTTAACAGACAAAAATCTAAAAATTGTTGAGCGTTGCAGGGAAAACTTGGAGTGCGTTTCCTCTCCGGGGCGTGTAATTCTTTGCATCTGCCTTTAATTTAGCTTCTTTGGTTACTTGGCTCGCTCTCGCAGCACGCAGTCGGCTCTTCCCTCTGCCACCCGCTTTCCCCCCCCCGCCCCCCTCCGCCGCCCCCTTTCCTTGCAAACCCAAAGCATTCCAACCTGTTGACCTTTGACCCCCCCAGAGCCGCCTGGGACAGCCCCTGGGACAGATCAGCTGCCAAATGAGATAATAGCGTGGGGAAGAAAGGGAAGATAAGTGGGGTGGGACAGGCTGGAGGGAAAAAAGGGGGAGCGGAGGGGAGCTGTGGAGTGCAGGGGGGGGTTTTCCCCTTCCCTGTGGGATGAAAAAGAGACCGCCGGCCTACCTAGCAGGGTTGTCGGGAGGATGGAAGTGGACGAAAAAGCGATTTGTGGTTGGGGCAGGGGGCTGGACTAGATGACCTCCGAGGTCCCTTCCAGCCCTAGGATTTTATGACTTTTTCCAAAAGCAACCAAGCCTCCTGGCATCCAGAATTTGCATACAGGTTAGTCCTCTACTTATGACCACCTTTAATAAATACAGGTAGTCCTCGACTTATGACCACATTTAATGAACGCAGGTAGTCCTCGACTTATGACCACATTTAATGAACGCAGGTATTCCTCGACATTTAATAAATACAGGTCATCCTTGACTTTTTTTTTTTTTTTTAATTTGATTTATATGCCGCCCTTCTCCGGAGACTCAGGGCGGCTTACAATGCGTTAAGCAATAGCCTTCATTCTTTTTTGTATATTTATACAAAGTCAGCTTATTGCCCCCACAAACTGGCTCCTCAATTTACCTCCCTTAGAAAGGATGGAAGGCTGAGTCAACCTTGAGCTTTGGCGAGATTCGAACCTGCAGTAATTGCAGGCAGCTGGTCTTAATAACCAGCTTAATAACAGGGTGCCTTAGAACACTGTACTACCAAGGCTCTTGTGGACTTACGACCACATTTAATAAACACAGGTCATCCTCAATTTATGACCACATTTAATAAATACAGGTCATCCTCGACTTACGACCACGTTTAATAAATACGGGTAGTCCT